CGCCACTTAGCCGTTGCCCGCGCGCGCGGGGCTCGCGTGGCGCCACGCCTGCAGCGCGCGGCCGCCGCCGCGCGTCGCCATGATGGCAGACGATAAGAAGAAGAACCCGCTCGCCGGGCTGGGTAAGTTGGCGCGTCACGGCCCCCCCCCCCAGCGACTCGCCGCTGATAAGTGTCCCCCGCGCGCACGCACATTCTGACAGAGACGACGCGCGGTGCGCTTGCACGCGGCGGAAACAGGGCTCGGCAATATCATGGACGCTATGAAGAAGGCGCAGGAGTTCACGTCGGTCGCAAAGGATCTGCAGGAGCAGCTCAAGAACACCGAGATCGAGGCGTCCGTGCGCGACGGGCAGGTCACCGTGGTGATGACCGCGCAGCAGGTGCCCGTGAGTGTGACCGTGTCGGATGAGCTCGTGGCCATGGGCAGCGATGAGGTGTCTAAGGCTGTTACTGAGGGCGTCATTGCTGCGCACGGCAAGAGCTCGGAGTATATGAAGGAGAAGATGGGGAGTTTGACAAAGGGTACGTGCGCTGTTTGAAAAGGGGCGGTAGTTTGCGTGCGCTGACGGCTGGGCATGGCATGGTACTGACTCACTCACGGACTCACTCACTGACTGACTCACTGACCCTGGTGTTTGCGTTTTATCGAAATTTGCGTAGACTTTGGCATCCCACAACCTCCGATGCAATGAGGCAAGGGTGCGAGCGTGCGAGCGTATCATGTTTAACAATGGAATTATGTAAGCAACGATAAAGAGACCGCGCCACCGTACGGGCCCGCTACTTTCCAAACAAGGCCCTAACCAGCGGCATATTGAGGCAGCACGCGTGCCAGAACTCGTCCTCCCTCTTCTCCCTGCGGTCTTTTCCGTCGCGCGTGCGTGCGCAGCTGCCGTTCTCCGTAGCATCCGTCATGGACGCGCTGCCGCGTCCGCCGCCGTCGCCGAACGCGGCGTCGGCGTGGCACGCGGCGCCCGGGCGGTCCGGCGTGCAGAGCATGTTCCAACGGGCCTCGGACGACGACGGGTCGGACGGCTCCAGCACGGGGCGGCCGCACGCGGCGTCGCGCACCAGCCCCGCGCGCAGCTCCTTGCGCACGCGCTCGTAGCGCCGCGCCAGCGTCGCCG